CCCTCCTTTAAAGAGGAAGGACACACCTACATAACACAATCCCTCCACCTCACCAGACAACTCCAATACAAAGGAATTCTCTTATAAGAACCAGGCCTGGAAAAGGTTCAAGAGTCCTCCCCTATAACGGAACAGTCCTTTATCATTCGCAAAATTTACCAGACTATGTCGATTGCAACAATTGTATTTCTGACAAAGATATCAAAAACAGTACTGAGAAGACATCCATTTTCATTCATACCATTTTCTACATAGACCTGACGCCACTGGTGGTTGGTTTGGGGAGGAAAAACAAGGGCATGGATAAAGCAGTTGGGGTTGCCATGACGGCAATGGCCTAACGTCAGTCGGGAAAAGCGGCTTGAAAGGTCTAAGTCCTTTGGTCCTACACCTCCCTTGTCATAGAGATGTAGAATCACGTCAAACGGGCCACTAATATCTCAATCCCGTGTTATCAGTTAAAGGCAGACCAACTGGCACCTGAACTCTATACATCAGGAATGCCTTCAACCAGACTTCCCTAATTAGAGACAGGGCAATCCAGCCTGCTGACTTGAATGCCATGCTCACTTTGAAGAAACAAAAGAAAAAAAACAGGTGTCGTTTAGCTCCAGGTTGTGATGGCATCTCTGCCTAATCATCTCACATATAAGACTGCAAGATGAACTTGCATTTCTGCAACTCATAAGTCCTAGGACACTTCCACTCTCCCCAGTGCTGGGAGAGGGCTGTCAGTCCCGATCCCAAGACTAAAAGAACTACATACGTAAAGCTGATAATGGCCAAGACCATACATGTAGTCAGAATCTCAATCAGTGGGGAAAGTAAACACCTAAGATGGGTAACCATGGGGCAGCTTCTTTCTGGAAGGCCTCTTCTTGGCAGAAGGAAAGTCAGATGCCCCAGTCATTAGGGACTTAACCATATTGTAGTCAGACTAACATGCCTTATGTTGAATGCATAGTTGTATCTTTCTCTGTACAAGAGAACAACAATGCTTTGATCAACACAAAGATTGACACCTTATGGTAGTGAAAGCAATTCAGTCCAAAATGGCTACAGTAAAGCATTAATGGGTTCCGTAAGTGTGTCATTCCTCATATAATGGTGCAGTCAAGGATAATAGACATTAATCATGCTCCAAGAAACCTTAACTAGTGACTTAGTCCACTTTTCCATTATGTGGCCAAGCACACCAAGAACCAATGGTGTAACAACCTTGGTCAAAGCAACACTCTCCTTTTCCTTGGTAACATCAGACCCACTAAGTCCAGGTTTGTGTCTTCTATACTATACAATGTGTAGTACTTGAATTTGTACTTGTCTGTAACATATTCAGAACTCTTGGTCCCATCCACATGATTGTGTGGATGGAAGTTGGGCTATTGTGTAATAAACAAGGGTATTATGTCATTTTGTTTGTGTTAAGTTCTCTGTGTCATTGTCAGGATGCATCCCTATCTAGCCATGTATTAATATCCGTGACACTGATGAGAAGATGGTCCATGTTTATGTGTTCAATGAAGGTTCAAGTGTGCTTATCTGTTTCCAGAGACACATCTGTGTGTGATCTCTAACTGTTTACTTATGCATACTGGAAATTGTGATATACTTATAATAAAATAGATGGTAAAAAAACAGAGCATCATAAAAAAATAACATTCACCATGTAGGCATATGAACTAACCATCTGACATGAAATGTGTTTTCTTTTCACCCCTGCATATATATAAATATAAAAAAATATATATATATATAAATATATATATATATATATATATATATATATATATATATATATATATATATATATATATATATATATATATATATATATACATTTCACTGCTGCATATTGTACATTTCTTACTGACTGTGATTTATCATTATACTCTCTCTTTAGGCATATATTACATATATGTTATTATGTACCTGATATATCAGAACTTCTTCCCTAAAATAAAAGCTCAAACTTTGCACAATGCTTACTCAAGAGACCTAGAAGAAGTGGTTGAGATGCCAAACACAATATTTGGTAATATAGGAGAAATATGTAGCTTATACCCCAAAAAGTATTGCCTTTTATGACGTATATCATATTCACCCACTCATCATCATGTTTGTCACACTTGTTAGGTTTATAAACAATGTTTCTCCATTCTTTCTTCTTATTCTCTTTCTTTGGGAGATGGTGAATTAATAAGCACCAGCTGACACCCCTGACCTAATAACCATCCATCATCTCCGTAATAATTAAATGATGAATTACAGCCCTAGTATAAAGAAAAACCTTCATATGAATAACTAATTCTTCCCTGCTTTTGATTTCAGAATAAGTTATGTTTAACAGTATTAGTCACAGAAATAAGTAAAACACACCATAACCTTCTAAAATTCTTCTATCAAAAAAGACAATATTTTCAGATCATTCAAAATTTAAAAACCGAAAAAGAAAAAAAAAATACTTTAAGCACACTAAAGATAAAAGAAACTCTGCTCATTAACATCAATACTTTTAATGTAAAAAATAACATTTACACTTTGGCTCAACTTCTCGGTACTTTCGCATCCTGATCCACAAAAAAGGAAAGGCCTATCGCACAATCTTCAGTATACTCTTGCCGTAATATGTCAGTGATTATATAAAAAAAAATAAGAAAAGAAATAAAGAAAAAATAAATGAAATAAGAAATGTTAAACAAGGAAATGAGAAAGACTGAGAGTCAGTGAGAAAGAGTGAGAAAGTAAGAGTGAGTGAGAGTGAGAGTAAGAGTGAGAGAGTGAGTGTAAGAGAGAGAGAGTAAGAAAGTAAGAGTGTGAGACAAAATGAGAGTAAGTAAGAGTGAGTGAGTGTGTGAGTGTGAGTGAGCGAGTGTAAGCGTGTGTGAGCGTGTGTGAGCGTGAGTGTGTGAGTGTGAGTGTGAGTGTGTGTGTGTGTGTGTGTGTGTGTGTGTGTGTGTGTGTGTGTGTGTGTGTGTGTGTGTGTGTGTGTGAGTGAGTGAGTGAGTGAGTGAGTGAGTGAGAGTGAGTGAGTGAGTGAGTGAGTGAGTGAGTGAGTGAGTGTGTGAGTGTGTGAGTGTGTGAGTGTGTGAGTGTGTGAGTGTGTGAGTGTGTGAGTGTGTGTGTGTGTGTGTGTGTGATACTATTTTAATAGCTTATGTAGACATATGAGTTGTTCTGATATAATGGATTCAAGTTCTAAAGACAAATGAAATTTTTAAAAATCATACATAAAAAAAAAAAAAAAAAAAAAAAAACTTTTTATCACTACTACTCATTCCTATGAAAATACATATATCATCTGACTGATTCTTACAAAACCAATTTAAATTCTGTCAAAATATTTACACATATAAACAGAGTCCTATGAAACCTAGTACAGCCATGACCACACTCTCTAAAACATACTTTTATTAACAAAAATTAAGAAGTCTGTAAAACAGAAGTGCACTTAGTGACACTTCGCATTAAGTTTTTCTTAATGATATTAGCTTCCTGTAGGAAAATAAATATATAGCATATTTGCCATCAAAGGCACTGTCCCATGCACAGCACGATAAAACCACAAAAGTATCTATTGCAACACAAGCAAGATGTATCCTTCAGGAAAACAATCAGTATCTCGTCATAACGAACGCTACCTCCACAAAACACATCCAAATTTAATATGCACGCGCACACACAGAAAATAAAAAATCCAGAAACTCTCTTCCACGTACAATGTCTTGAGTTCCTTGAGGATTTTGGGGGGGTGGGGGCTCAAGCAGTGACCATCCGCTCTTCAGTGAAGCGTTCGTTAAGAGATCTGGAGGTTTGGTTGGGGACGTGGCGGAAGCCTTTCACACCAGGTCCAGGGCCGCTGTTGAGGGTGACCTCGTCTTTGCCCTGTAGCACAGCAATCTCCTTCTGTACTTTGGGGTCCAGGATCTGCCGGTGGGGCTCTGGGGGAGACCGCACGTTCTCTTGGGAGATGGTGGCCATGAGGGGAGCAGAGGACATGGCTGCCAGCCTGGCTCGTGGATCTCTGCTTGTGATGATGTTCCTCTTGGTGAGCTTCCGTGGCATATCAGACACCTGGAAGCTTGGCTCGGGTGGGGGTTGGCGAACATGCTCATTGACAACGGTGAAGGTAGGTGGGGCATACCCAGCGTTGGAGTTCTGATACACTCTGTTTCGATTCAACCTGGGCCTCTGTCTGGGTTTAGCTCCTAAAAAGTAAAAACAGAAATTATTACATTATCAGTTACTAAAAGGACACATCATTACTCCATCTAAAGCCTTCCTCTGACCTATTTCTAATATATGTGAAATGCTGCTCTGCCTGTCCCCATAATGTTTATGAAATGTTGCTCTGCCATACTGGCTTGACTGTTCCATCTCCTGTGATGTGAGCTGTATTCTATATTTCTCTACTTTGAGCAATTTGTTTCCACATAAAGATGCAAGGTATTAAACTTGGAGGGAAAAAATCTTTATAAATAGCACTCACTTTAAAAAGAGCAGTGAGTTCATCATCACAATCAGACAAGAAAGCTGTATATCAGTCCAAAAAAATAAGCCTGGACACTCACTCACTCACTCTGTCTCTCTCTGATATAATTTTGCCAACCACATGACAAGAGAAGAAGGAAGAGAAAGAAAAGGAGGAGGAGGAGGAGGAGAAGAAGAGGGATAAGGAGAGAGAGAAGGAGAAGAAGAGGGATAAGGAGAGAGAGAAGAAGAAAAAGAAGAAGAAAGAAAGAGAAAAAAGGAAACTTTTTACACCTTTTCAGACATCAACATAACTCCATCCCCAAACTTACCATTCTGGGCTGACTGTGTGGAGGCAATGTTATTCTTTATGCTGACTGTCAAGCCCCTCTGTGAGGAGAGAGACACAACAGAGCCAGTGCCTCTTGATGGGTCTCTCATCTGCTGTGTTCTCACCTTCTGCAAAAACACGGCAAAAGAAACAAGATATGTAATTGGCATTAGGATGAGGAATACAAATTTAATAAGGGAGAGTAAAAACAGTATTGAAACTTAACCCACTGCCGACAGGCATGCCATGCCATGCCCACTGTGAGTTTACTTATTTGATAGTTTTTCCACATAGCTGGCTACACTTGTACTAAGCCACCAATGAGCCAATTACTAGTACTGCCTGTCTCACCTGTTTACCCTTTTCTTTGATTTACGAAAATATTTTACGTTATCTTATTTTGCTGTTACTAATGTTTATAACATTATAGTAATTATAATGTTTATAATAAAAATAGCACCATCGATATTAAAAGCACTAGTAAAAAATACATTTTCCCCATCAATTCAAGGGAAGGTGAAATCAGGTAAGGCAGAGCCTTCCATATGTAGACATTTTACAAAAAATATAAAAAATGAGCACAGCAATTTCCCCATTTTTTATTCATTTTCCAAAGTGGCAAAGGGTTAAAAAGGGGAGTAAGACTATGGAAAAAACAAGATCCATACTTTCAACAATCACTTGCTTTTTGATCATCTAATACATCCCATCTGAGCAAAATAGACATGGACCTCCAATCAATCCTTTTAATCCCTGGGACTACCTACCTTATCCTTCAACACATCGATCCTTTGTCGTTGTCTCATCTTGTGCAGAAGGAGCTGGTCGGAACGCAGGCCTCTCACCACCGTTCCGTTACCCACTCGCACTTTGAGGGGAGTCCCCAGGTTTCCTTTGGTCTGCTGCAAGAGTGGGAGTGTGCTGGTACTCAAAGCAAATGGATGAAGAAAACACACATTCAGACAAAAAGACAAAAACACCACAACTACACCTGTGTACAAATCCACTCTAACAATATGTTGACACTGATGGATACCCATAAAAAACACACACATACAAATTCTCTCTCTCTCTCTCTCTCTCTCTCCATTCCTCTCACTCTCCCTCTCCACCCTTCCCTCTCCCTCTCCATCCTTCCCTCTCCCTCTCCACCCTTCCCTCTCCCTCTCCACCCTTCCCTCTCCCTCTCCATCCTTCCCTCTCCCTCTCCACCCTTCCCTCTCCCTCTCCACCCTTCCCTCTCCCTCTCCACCCTTCCCTCTCCCTCTCCACCCTTCCCTCTCCCTCTCCATCCTTCCCTCTCCCTCTCCACCCTTCCCTCTCCCTCTCCACCCTTCCCTCTCCCTCTCCACCCTTCCCTCTCCCTCTTCACCCTTCCCTCTCCCTCTCCACCCTTCCCTCTCCCTCTCCACCCTTCCCTCTCCCTCTCCACCCTTCCCTCTCCCTCTCCACCCTTCCCTCTCCCTCTCCACCCTTCCCTCTCCCTCTCCACCCTTCCCTCTCCCTCTCCACCCTTCCCTCTCCCTCTCCACCCTTCCCTCTCCCTCTCCACCCTTCCCTCTCCCTCTCCACCCTTCCCTCTCCCTCTCCACCCTTCCCTCTCCCTCTCCACCCTTCCCTCTCCCTCTCCCTCTCACCCTTCCCTCTCCCTCTCCACCCTTCCCTCTCCCTCTCCACCCTTCCCTCTCCCTCTTCCACCCTTCCCTCTCCCTCTCCACCCTTCCCTCTCCCTCTTCACCCTTCCCTCTCCCTCTCCACCCTTCCCTCTCCCTCTTCACCCTTCCCTCTCCCTCTCCACCCTTCCCTCTCCCTCTCCACCCTTCCCTCTCCCTCTTCACCCTTCCCTCTCCCTCTTCACCCTTCCCTCTCCCTCTCCACCCTTCCCTCTCCCTCTCCATCCTTCCCTCTCCCTCTCCATCCTTCCCTCTCCCTCTTCACCCTTCCCTCTCCCTCTTCACCCTTCCCTCTCCCTCTCCACCCTTCCCTCTCCCTCTCCATCCTTCCCTCTCCCTCTCTATCCTTCCCTCTCCCTCTCCATCCTTCCCTCTCCCTCTCCACCCTTCCCTCTCCCTCTCCATCCTTCCCTCTCCCTCTCCATCCTTTCCTCTCCCTCTCCATCCTTTCCTCTCCCTCTCCATCCCTCCCTCTCCCTCTCCACCTTTCCCTCTCCCTCTCCACCTTTCCCTCTCCCTCTCCACCCTTCCCTCTCCCTCTCCAACCTTCCCTCTCCCTCTCCACCCTTCCCTCCCCCCCCACACACACGCACACTAACTCACTCTCTCTCTCACTCTCTCACTCCCTCTCACTCCTGTGGCTATGTCCAGCCAAACCTCCCCTCTCTCTCTCTCTCTCTCTCTCTCTCTCTCTCTCTCTCTCTCTCTCCTCTCTCTCTCTCTCTCTCTCTCTCTCTCTCTCTCTCTCTCTCTCTCTCTCTCTCTCAAACAAACTCACAAAAAGAAAAACGAAAATAGAAAGGTCATACCTTTACCCCCTCTTGTCATGCCCCTCTTTGTGCCAACACACATGCCCCCAACCTATGCATACCCACAATAAACACAAACATACACCCACACTCAGTAAAAAAAAAAAAAAAAAAAAAAAAAAAAAAAAAAAAAAAAAAAAAAAAAAAAAAAAAATGAAAACACACAGTAAAAGAAGAAAAAGGGCATACCTTTACTCCTCCTGCCACGCCCCTCCTT